AGGGGGGGGGGACAGCGAGGGCCGCAGAAATGGGGCCCTTTCGGGCCCAGAAGAGGGCCTTCGGGGCCCAAGAAGGGTACCTTCCTCCCCCCCCCCCCCCCACCTTCCCCCCCCCCCCCAATTAGTCGCCCCCGTCCCCTTACTTCGCGCCCAAAAGACCTGTGGGACGGCTTGAGGAGGGAGGGGGAGGGGCGGCCAGGGGCCAGGGCACAGCAGGGGCAGCGGCAGCGGCAGCAGGGGGAGAGGAGCGGCGGATGCCCCGGAGGAGGTGGGCGGGGGAAGGGGTCGGCGGGTGGGGGGCCCTCCTCGCCCCCCTCCACTCGGCCCTTCTTGTCCCCCTCGTCCTCCTCGTCCTCCCCTGCCCTCGCCCTCGTGCGCCTGCCGCCCCTCCTCGTCCTCATCCCTCGAGGTAGGGGGGAGGGGCGCAGTGGGGGCAGCACGAGGGCAGAGGAGGCGGAGGAGGAGGAGGAGGAGGAGGAGGGAGGAGGAGAAGAGGAGGAGGAGGAGGAGGAGGAGGAGGAGGAGGAGGAGAGGAGAGGAGGAGGAGGAGGAGGAGGAGGAGGGAGAAGGAGGAGGAGGTGAGGAGGGGGAGGGGGAGGGGGAGGGGGGAGGAGGGAGGAGGAGGGGGAGGAGGAGGAGGGAGGAGCCTTGGCCCCTCCGCCGCGATCTGCTGCGCGGCCGAGGGAGGGCGGCGCCCCCCCCCCCCCCCCCTCCTCCTCGCCAGGAGCACTCCAAGTCGAGCCTCGGCTCAGGGGCCCAGCGGGGGACGACGGCTGCGACGGCGGCCAAGCGAAGGCAGAGGCAACGAAGACGGGGACGGCGTTCCCTTCCCTCCTCTCTCGTTCTTTTTCGTTCTCGTGTCCTCTCTCTCTCTCTCTCTTCCTCTGCCTCTCTCTCTCTCTCTCTTCTCCCTGCTCCCCCGTACTCTTGCTCCTCCTCCCTCCTCCTCCTCCTCCCTCCTCCTCCTCCTCCTCCTCCTCCTCCTCCTCTTCCTCCTGCCCATTCCCCCCTCCACCTACCCCTCCTCGAGGAGTAACGAAGCAACTGCGTAAACATCAATTTTCGCGGGCCCGTGCGGATTTTTTGAACCGGCGCTGGACCTCCTCCTTCCTCCTGCCCATTCCCCCCTCCACCTACCCCTCCTCGAGGAGTAACGAAGCAACTGCGTAAACATCAATTTTCGCGGGCCCGTGCGGATTTTTTGAACCGGCGCTGGACCCCCCTCCATGGCTCGCGGACCGCGCCAGAGGCGGTGCCGGAGGCGTCGCCAGGGGAGTTCGGCGCCAGAAGAGTCCAGTGTGGCGAGTGGTTTGCAGGGATAAGGGGGGGAGAGAAAGAGAGAGAGAGAGAGAGACAGAGAGAGAGAGAGAGAAAACAAAAAAACAAATCAATGAGGAGGAGGAGGAGGATGTTGAGCAGATATTGGATGTCCTCCAAAGATCGAAGAAGGGAAACCGACATAAAAGATATTCTCTCGGAAGGTCGCACGGATTCTTTCGATCAGCGCCGAATCCTCCTGGCCGCTACTCCAGCGCTGCGCGCCAGGGAGGGGGGGGTCCTGTGCAGATCAAAGAAATCCGCGCGGACATCCGAAAGTGTATGTTTATGGATTGACTTACCTTCAGCAGGGCAAGTCCGAGAAGAACATGGGTGAAACAAGGAAAGCGCGCCAGTGGATGGCCCTGATTACGAAAAGGGGTGTGTATGTGTGTGCTCGCAGAACCGCCCCCTCCACCCCTTCGAAAGGGGGGGTCATATTTTCGACCCCTCCCCTCCCCCCCTTAAGGGGGGGGGGGTCCGACACACCCCCTCCCTTTGAGGGGGGGGGGAAGAGGTCCGGACCCCCCCCCCCCATCCCCTCCCCCCTTGGCCCTGGCGCTGGAAAGGGGGGCGGGGGGTTCGACCCCCCCCCCCCCTCCCCCCCTTTGCGCCGAACAGGGGGCTGGGGATGGGGCTTCTCGGGTAGTGAGTAGGGAGTAGAGTGTTTTGAATAGCAATTGGTGAGTGGTGGGTAGTTGATAGTGAGTAGTGCGCAGTGAGTCGTAAGTGGTGGGTAGTGAGTGGTGGGTAATGGGTAGTGGTAGAAGTGAGTAGCGCGTAGAGATTACTGATTAGTAAGTAATGAGTAATGAGTAGTGGGTAGTGAGTAGCGGGAAGGAAGTAGTGAGTAAGGAATTGTGAGTAGTGAGGAGTGAGTAAAGAGTAGTGGGTAGTGCATAGTGAGTAGTAAGCAGGGAGTAGGGATGAGGAAGTAGACACTCGCGAATAGCGAGGAGTGAGTAGTGCGGAGCGAGTAGAGAGTAGTGAGTAGTGATTGGTGAGTAGCGAGTAGCGAGTAGGGAGTAGCGAGTAGGGAGTAGCGAGTAGTGAGTAGTGGGTTGCGAGTAGGGCGTGGTGAGTAGTGGGCAGTGAGGAGGGAGTAGTCAGGAGTCACTAGTGAGTAGTGAGTAGGGAGTAGTGCGTAGCTAGTCGGGAACAGCGAGTAGTGAGTTGTGAGTAGTGAGCAGGGAGTATTGAGTAGTGAGTAGTGAGAAGCGAGAAGTGGGTATTGAGTAGTGGGTAGTGAGTAGGGAGTAGCGAGTCGAAATTCGTGAGTAGTGGGTAGTGACAGGGCTAGGAGGAATACTGTGGACAAGAGCACGGAGAAGCGACACTGGGTAAGACAAGAGGAACAACTCAAACAATATCTCCATGACCCATAGAACAGCCAAGTAGTGAGCCGCGATTCGCGAGTAGTGGGTTGTGGGTTGTGAATATTTTGTATTCGGTCGCGAGAAGCGGATAGTGGGCAGTGAGTTGCGGGCAGTGCGTGGTGGGTAGTGAATTGTGAGTTCTCAGTAGTACGTAGCGGATAGCGGTTAGTCGGTGTTGAGTAGTGCTTAGTGAGTAGTGAGTAGTGGGAAGTGAGCTGTGTTTAGTGGGTGGCGAGTGTTGACTATTGGGTAGTGGGTAGTGAGTAGAGAGTTCGGAGTAGTGAGTAGAGAGTTGAAAATAATCAGTAGTGAGTAGTGGGAACGTAGTGAATAGTAGTGAGTAGTGGGTAGTGGACAGTGCGTATTGGGTAGCGAGTAGGGCGTAGGGAGTAGCGAGTAGTGAGTAGTGAGTACGGTGTAGGGAGTAACGAGTAGTGGATAGTGAGTAGTGAGTTGTTGGTGGGCAGTGAGTAGTGAGTAGTGAAGTGTGAGTAGTGAGTAATGGATAGGGGTTAGTGGGTAGTGAGTAATGATTTGTGATTAGTGAGTAGTGACTAGTGAGTAGTGATTTGTGATGAGTGGGTTGTGTTTAGTGAGTAGTGCGTATTGAGTAGTGGGTAGTGAGCAGTGAGTACTTTGTAGCGACTAGGGAGTAGGGAGTAGTGAGTAGTGCGTCGTGGGCTGTGAGTCGTTGGTAGTGAGTAGTGAGTCGTGAGTAGTGAGAAGTGAGTCCTAAGTAGCGAGTAGTGAAGTGTGGGTAGTCAGTAGTGCGTAATGAGTAGTGAGTACTGTTTGGGGCTACAGTTTGGGTTTAGGGTTAGGGTAAGGGTAAGGGTGAGGATTAATGTTACGGGTGGTCGGGGTTGGGTTCCGAAGACTGGCGGCGCCGTGGCGAAAGGGGGGGAGGGGATGCGGGTCGAATTTGGCGGCCACAGGGGGGGAGGGGGGGGGGGTCGGACCCCCCCCCCTTTTTGAAAAGGGGGGAAGGGGGGGGGGAGGTCCCCGACGACGGACCGTTTCCCCGACGACGGATCGGGAAAGGGGGGGGAGGGGGGGGGGTCCCCGACGACGGATCGGGAAAGGGGGGGCCAGGGTCCCACCCCCCCTTGGCTTGGGGTCATCCAGCGGCGCGCCCTCTGAAACAAGAGCAAGCGCCAGGCATGGAAGAAGGGCGAACATGTGGGCAGTAGCAGTACGCGCCCGAGCGTGAAACACGCCTGCAATAGGGCCATCCCCGTCGAACAATGCCCCAGCATGCGACAACGGAGTGTTTTGTTCCTCCTGTCGGCAACAGCAGCATCGCCGACAACACGGACATCATCGCCAAGATTCAGCCACGGGCGGAGGGGGTAGGGGGAAAGGGGGAAGGTTCTTTAGAAGCACCCTTGCTTTTTAGAAGCAGCGGGCCTCATGAATCGATGTAAGGCCCGCGCCTTTGAAAAGCAGGGGTGTTTCTAAGAAGCCTTCCCTCCTTCCCCCCACCCTCCTGCGCGCGCCCGCAGAGCATTGACGGCATCATCTTCGCAACCAGCATCATCGCTCACTGCGGGGACGGTACGATCCTACGCATTCGAAAAGGCGCACGGCCAACGCTAATTTGGGGCCCGCTTCAGTGGTATTCCCAAGCTGCTTGTATAGCTAGCTTGAGGGTAGCGGGAAACACTACGCCTAGGGCGTAGGGACACGTTTCGTTTCGGACCCCGAGCAGGCGCCCCAGCCGTTCGCGGCCCGTGGCGGAGGACATCTCCCGCTCGCATTGGACCTCCAGGTGAGCTACAATTGTGGACGATAACAAGCCACGCAATCAACAACCGTGGCAAAGTAGTACCCACCGTGAAAACCGCATGCCCAGTAACATGAAGGGGTGGGCAAATAATCTCGCCAACCCAGAGTTGTGGCGTCTGGACAGCCAGCACGCCACGCATCCATCGGAAACGCTGGACGTCTTGGACTAAGACTTCTACAACTGGCACATCCCGAGAGGAAAAAACGAATGATAGATAGGAAGGAGGGGGAGGAGGGGATGGTGATGGGCGGGTGATACACTGTATTTTCTCGAGGGCTCTGGCGACCATGCAAGCCACAAACATCCCACGTGCTCGACTAGGATACGCTCCACGGAAGCGCGACAAGCGCGACCCAGTGGCCGGATGCACCGTATGCAACCGCGCTCCATGTCGACCATACGCAGCAGCATTCTCATTGGCTGTGGCCATCCAGGCCGCTTGGGTGAGCGATATGACATCGTGACGAGTTATTACATTATCACTGGTAGATTACATTGCAGCCGACATCTCGGGCGGAGGAGGAGGAGGGTTACGTAGCAGAGCAGCCCCTCCCTCCTGCCTCCTCCCCTGCCATTCTGACCTCAGCTTGATAAACCCTGGTTTTGTTTTCGCGCCACTCCCTATCAGCCAGATGCCAGAGTCGTGTCCGAGATTGTTTTGACATCTGCACATGATCTTGCACGCCTCTCGGTTGACTGAAGTAGTTCCCGATTGGAATTGTCAAGGCTTGGGCGCGACACTCCTTGAGAGAATGGCCAGCATGTTCGTGGCCGCCCCGCTTCGAGGAGAAGGAGGAGGCTGTGAAAAGCGCAAGGGCGAGGACTCGGACAGAGCTGTGAGGATGATGCGTGCAGATATAGAGAGTGATGCGCCACGTGCTGTTTCGAGTTGCGATCAGAGCGCGAGTGGAGGGGCAGCTTCCTGGAGATGCGCCGGGCACCCTGGCCGACAACAGCACTTGGCAGCAGGATATCCGACTCTGCCCCGAGTCTGCCATGCGGCCACTCGCTTCATGCTGAGCTGATCGCCCCTGGCGATCTCGTAAACCGTTTTTCATCATCTTGTCTTCCCGCGCCTTGTTCACAGGTACGCATGTCTCTTCTCATCCCCTTCATTTTGTGTGTCCATCGTTGTTCGTTGCTTTGGGCCCTTTGTTTTAGTCGCCCTTCGTGTCCAGCTGTGTTTGGCAGACCGTTCGCCCAGCTGGCAGGAATCACACACACAGTTCCTCGAGCGGCGAGGTGGCGGCGCCGTTGCGCGTACTGGGCCAGGTCACGCTTAGTCGATTTCCGTTTCGCGTAGGAGAGCACACAAACGTAACGTTGCGTACCCGATATTACATGCACATGCGACGACCGTTGTCAGGAAACGGTCGCAACGCATGGTCAGGATGCAAAGCCATTGGACTTCCATGTTGGGAATGTTTTACGTTGCTCTTACCCTGACCAGCCCATCAAAAAACAATCACCAGGCGAGTTGCCTTGATGAGGGATGTGTAGCAGCATGAAGTCCATGAGTGAGCCACATCCGTCTTTGCGGAATCCAGCCGCCTGCGGCAAGTCCCGTCACCGTGCCAGGCCAGCATCTTGGGTGGCGATTGTTCGAGAGATGGAGAGCCGTGACGATGGTGGTGATGTTATTGGTGGCGCTGATGAACGGTGATTGTGGTGTTTGTGTTGTTGATGATGATGATGATGATGATGATGATGATGATGATGATGATGATGATGATGATGGTGATGGTGATGGTGATGATGATTTGATGATGGTGATGACGATGATGGTGGTGGTGGTCATGCTGATGCTGGTGATGATGACGATGATGCTGATGATGACGATGGCGATGATGGTGATGATGATGATGATGATGATGATGATGATGATGATGACGATGCTGATGATCTGCTGATACTGCTGGTGCTGATGCTGCTTAGGTTTATGCTCGTTGTTATGGTCATGATGTTTGTGGTAGTGGTACTCGTAGTGATAGTGATAGTGATGAAGAGGATGGAGATGAGGATAAGGACGCGTATGATTGTGATGATGCTGATGGTGGCGATGTTGCTGATGGTAGTGATGCTGATTATAATGATGGTGACGGCAATGATGCTCGTGCAGATGATGGTAAGTATGGTGTTGATGGTGATGTTGATGATGATGGTTGTGATGGTGATAATGATGATATAATTGGGAATGGTAATGGTGTTGGGGATGGTGATGATTGTGATGGTGCTGGTGGTACTAATATGGGTGATGGTGATGATGATGGTGATGATGATGATGATGATGCTGATGGTGATGATGATGCTGATGATGATGATGATGATGATGATGATGATGATGATGATGATGATGATGACGTTGCGGATAATGATGAGCAGGAGGAGGAGAATGAGGATGACGATGACGATGACGATGATGATGACGACGATGACGATGACGATGACGATGACGGCGACTAAGAGGAGGAGGAGGAGGAGGAGGAGGAGGAGGAGGAGGAGGAGGAGGAGGAGGACATCGTGGGACATCATGGGCCATTTGGGGACCCTTGGGGGGGGCTCGTTTGCCGTCTCGGGGCCATCGTGGAGGCTTCTTGGGCCGCCTTGAGCAGACGGAAGCCCGAAAAGGCGAAAACGCGAAAATCATACAACAACCTTGGAGAAATCAATGACTTGGGCTCCTACGGACCCTGTCGGAGGTCCTTTTGTGGCCGTTTCGGTCCCCCTTGGAGGCATCTTGGACCGTCTCGAGGCCAGACTGGAACGCCCTGGGAGCCCTCGTGGGCCGTCTTCGAGGCATCCTAGGGCATCTTGGTGTGGCTGTCTGCGTGGGTCGTCTGAGAAGCTGGGGACTCGGCGTCACAGCTTTGAACGAGAGGTCGTGGCCTCGGGAGCGCGGGCTCTTGTTTTCAACGAGGGTGGCGGCTTCGGGACCGCGGGCCCGTGGCTGTTTGCTGGAGATCGTGGCTTTGGGAGGGGCGGCGAGCATGCAGGGAACGTGGGTGGTTGGGGGCCCTTTTTGCTGGAGAAACGTAAGACTCGAGTACGCGGGAACTCGGGTTCGCCTGCGCTTGTTGATTAGCCCTTCATGGATGTTGACGGTCCAGTTTTCGTGGGATGTTTGCAGCGGGAGCCCGCGTCAAATTTCAGATTGTGTCGCGTCATTTTCATGATGGCCCCGTCGGGCCAACCCGAGTCCCCCCAACCCGAGTCTTTCTTCTTCCCGATTTTGGAACACAGAGACCCGACCAGACAGCCCTCTGCGTTCCTCCACGCCTCAGCGTGTCACAAGGCGCGGGGGCGAATCTCCCGAGGGAGAAATGGGAGGCGGAGAAGGAGATGCAGGAGGAGGAGGAAAGAGGAGAGAGGAGCGCGGAGGATGACGAGGAGCCGGCGGAGACGGTGGAGCGGGAGCCAGGAGGAAGCAGGAGGCGCAACAGGGATCCGTGCGGGTCGCTTGCGCGCCAGCAGCCCGACGACGAATCAGGCGACGGCGGCGGCGACGACGACGTCTTTCGCCCTGGGAGCAGCCGGGGGCCTCTTGGGGCCCTCGTGAGGCTTCTTTCTCGCAGCCGTTTTCAGTGCCTCTCGGGGGTCAGCGGGGCAGGAGCAGCACGTGGTGTACAAATACCCCTGGCGTGGCAGCGCCTGGGGACGGCGGCAAGAAAGCATGGTAGGTTACAGTGCCGTTTTTAATACATGCTCCGCGTGCGGATCATGTATTAAACATGCAGGGATTTAGTATTTAAAAAAAACGATGAGTTCATGCCGAAATTTATTCAAACATTAGTCATGTATTAAAATATCATATGGTTTAAACTCCTATGTGTTAACACATCTGCCCTGTAGTGTTCGCGTGACAACGGCGGAGACCGCGCCCGATTGATGAGTCGCACTGTCAGGCCTCGGGAGGCGGAAGCATAGCGCTTCACCCGACTTGTTGCGCACAGAGCTTGCTGCACTCCACGTGACAGCATGCCTGGGGTTGTCGTTGCGTGGCAGCTCGGATGGGTGATGGGGCGTCGTGGGAAGCCTCTCGAGAGCGTGTTGGAGGCATTGTTTCGACTTGTCGGACGCCTCCGGGGAGTCTGTGGGGACCTGCGGAGACACTCTGCGGACATGTAAACGATATCTTGGGCCTCTGGCTGGTTTCGTGGGGATTCCTGGGCGACTCTGGGGCGACTCTGGTCTCGTTTGGGGCTGTCTTCGGCTGTCTCGGGAACTTGTTCAGAGACTCCTGGGGAGTGTTTGGGGCAATGCTGGGACCCTCTGGGGATGTCGTGGATGGCGCGAAAGTCGAAGAACGCGAATGCGTTTTAAATATACGTTCTCCTCGGGATAATCGTGCAAGTGTTGCTTCTTCAGGCTTGCCTGGGGTGCGTATGGCGGACTTCTTGAGACGCCGAAGGTCGGCCGTGGCCATCTAGCAATGGGAAACTTGAAAAGAGGAGCAATCGCTCACCCAGGGGATTCCAGATTGAGACGTTGGAAGAATAACATATTGGAGAATCGTTGGACCCTGGGATATGGGATTGAAAGGTTGAAAAACTGAAGCAACATGTGATCGCTTTTTCTTTGAATACTTCAATCCAGAGGCACCATATTCAAATATCTTTCAAGCTTTCAATCTTTCAGTCCAGGATCCCCGGATTGTAAGAGATCTCGCTTTTCTAATGTTTCAAATGTGTCGGCATTCTCACTCCGAGCAGTCCCTTGTTAGATGTGGAAAATCCTCCTCCTCCTCCTCCTCCTCCTCCTGCCCCCCCCTCCTCCCCCTCGCCCTCCTCCCCCTCCCAAGGGCGACCGCCACAAGTACCGGCGGAGGGGTGCCCTTTTCGGGCTTGGGGCGCGCCCCCCCCCCCCCCCCCCGGGGTCGGGGGGCAGGCTGCCGCGAGACTGCGCCCATCCCCTCCTCCTCTCTTCCTGGTCCTCGTCTCCTCCGCCTCGCAGTTGCCCTCCTCAACCTCCTCCTCCTCATCATCCTCATCCTCATCCTCATCCTCAACCTCCTCCTCCTCCTCCTTCTCCTCCTCCTCCTCCTCCTCCTCCTCCTCCTCCTCCTCGTCCTCCCCTCGCAATTCCCACGGCGGTCCACTCTCCCGCCGGGGGTCGAGGCCGGCGGTCCCTCGGCGGCGCGCGGAGCGCGCCGCCGTTTTGCGGCCCCCGACCTGGGCGAGATATTGCTCTTCGCTGCTCTCGCTAGCAGGGGCGGGAGGCTTTGATCCCCGTTTTCGTTGTTGTTCTCTCTGCGCAGGGGAAAGGGCTTCCCCTGTCGATCGGAGCTCGACAGCAACTCTCGTGAGTTGCAGGCTCGAACACCGCGTCGGTCACGTTTCCCCATCCCGCAGCGGGCTCTGTTCCAGAGGGTTGAGGCTTGCGCCCCCCGTGCCCTTGGACACTGCGTCCTATTATCCGAGTCCGAATATTCCTCATCCTTCTCTTGCGCCTCCTCTTCCCCCTCCTCCTTCTCCTCCTCCTCGTCCTCTTCCTTCTCCTCCCGTTATCCTCGTCGTCCCCCTCCCCCTCCTCCTTCTCCTCCTCCTCCTCCTCCTCCTCTTCCTCCTCCTCCTCCTCCTCCTCCTCCTCCTCCTCTTCCTCGTCCTCTTCATCCTCCTTGTGCCCCTCCAACTCCCCCTCTTCCACCACCTCCTGTTAATCCCCCATATCCTCCTCCCGTCGTCACCTCTTCCTCCTCTTCCGCCTCCTCCTCCTCCGCCTCCTCCTCCTCCTCCTCCTCCTCCTCCTCCTCCTCCTCCTCCTCCTCCCCCTCCTCCCCCCCCTCCCCCTCCTCCTCTTCCTCCTCCTCCTCCTCCTCCTCTTCGTCCTCCTCCTCCTCCTCCTCCTCCACCTTATGCCAGCACGGTGCGATTCTGCTGCACTGGCCGAGGCTCCGCGCGCGGGCTCGTCCGCCGCAGGCTGGTCCTCGCGTGGCTCTCCGGGTCTGTCTGGTGCAGCTCGTGTTCAGCTCGTGGGCATCGTCGCTTCCAGGTTCCTTCTGGACGCCCGACATGGGTACCGAAAGAATGGGTACGATGCCCAACAGCAGTTCCTGTTCATTCTGAACAGGACTCGCTGTCCGCGCCGCCGCGGCCTGTGTCCATTCGAGACAGAGGGCCGCCTGCCCAACAGCGGCCGCTGTTGGTTTGGGACAACATTTGTTGTTGGGCATTGTACCCATTCTTTCGGTACCCATTTCGGGCGTCCAAATTCCTGTGCAAGGCGTTCTTTTGCATGCACTTCGCCGTCGGCACCGCCTGCTTCCGGGGCTCTGCCCTTTCTTGGCCTCGACGTGAGGCCCCCCCTTCTGCTTTCCCCTCTCTGTTAATTCAGGCCGTGCGCGGCCCGCTTAGCTTCGACCGCAGGAGGTGCGCTCTCGACCCGCGGATCAAAAAAAGTGTTCAGCTTGTGGGCATCGTCGCTTCCTGCCTCATGGTTCTGCCTCGTCGACTCGCGTTAAGTCGGGCCTGTCCCCCTACAGTGGGATGTTCGACGAAAAATAAGAAATACCCCACAAATAGTCAAAACAAGGTCCAAAAACACTACGGGGGCTATGTTTTGAGTATTGTTTGACCTTTTGGGGGCATGTTTGGGGTATGTTTTATTTTTCGTCGAAAGTCCCCGTGTAGGGGGACACGCCCGACGTAAAGCTCGTGTTCAGCTCGTGGGCATCGTCGCTTCCTGCCTCATGGTTCTGCCTCGTCGGCTAGCGTCGATTGGCAGCGAATCGCACAAGCCGGCACGGTGGTATGGGAGGCTCCCGTGAGTGCTCGCAGGGTGTTCGGGCAACGCTTCAACATGCTCAAGCAACGTTTCCATCCATGACCCATCGCGAGCCAGAAACTCTCTTATAAATCGTCCCCCCCTCCATGATTTAGCAATCGGCATCCTACATTCTGAGAGGCTCCCATGAGTTCCCACATAATACTTGATCCGCCTTTCTACTTCATTCGGCGGCCGACATGCAGCGCAACGAGGTGCAGCACAGGGGGAAGACGCCATGCAACTCCGCACATGATACGGCAGAGCGCTGCATTTAAGCACCCGGCCTGCGAGCCGCAGCCCCTGACCCAGACCGTGGGGGGGGGGGGGGACGAGCTTCCGCCGGCATACCTCTTACCTGTGTTGCTAGACGTGCCCCTGGCCCAAGGTGCCTCTATTGGTGGTCCCCAAACGTGGTGGTGAGAACACCCGGTGGTGAGTTTTGGGCTATTTGGGTAATGGTTTTCGAGCGTTGGCTGGCCCAGGAAACGCAAAACCTCGTGGCGACCGCGTGTCCCCAAACCCGGTGGTGACCCAGAATTATTTGTTGGGGGAATCGGGGTCACCACCGGGTGTCTCACCTTTCACCACCTGGTTTGGAGACCACCAACTCCAGGATGTCCAAGAAAAGCTGGGGGCACCTTTGGCGGCCAGGGGCACATTTGACACCCCCCCTTTTCTTGCGACTGGCGGGGACCGCCAAGCCAGGGCTCGTTTCGATTCCTCCGATTCCATTCGACTCGGTTGCGATGGCCTCCGATTCCGACTCGATCCGCTTCGGCTTCGCATTCCGACCTGGACTCCGATTCCTCCTTGGAGGCGCGCTGGCCTGCCGACTTCCAGTTCCGCCGATCCGACCTCCCCCTACCCGGCGGCCGCTCTCCGCCGCTTCGACTCGTCTCGATCGCCGATCCGACTTCTCGGTTCGACTCCCGGCTCCCTCGGGGCCTTCTTCGGACTCGGGCGGCCTAATGCGGTCGACCCCGACTTCTCGGTTCGACTCCTCGGTCGACTCCGATCCGTTTCGACCGCCGACCCGACTCGTGGGTTCGATCCTCGGCTCTCCTGCCAGGCCCTTCCCCGAGAGCTTCGGCGGAGGGCCCCCCGCGCGGCGGGGACGGCGCGCGCCCCGCGGCGAGGAGCTCCGCGCCGCGTAGCGCGCGCGGCCAGGCCCGGCCGGGCGCGGGCGCCCCGCCGGCGTAGCCGGCGAGGGGCGCGCGCGGAGAATCGCCGCGGCGGGCGCGGCCTGCGCGCGCGGGGCGTGGTGCCCCCGAGGCCAGGAGTATTATTAAGGGGGAGGGGGGGGGAGGGAGGAGCTTCGAGGGGGGAAGAGGGAGGAGGGGAGGAGGAGGGAGGGAGGAGGGAGGGGGAGGGGGGGGGAGGGAGGAGCTTCGAGGGGGGGGAGGAGGGAGGAGGAGGGGGGGGGGATCGAGAGCATCCAGGGGGGAGGGAGGGAGAGGAGGGAGCACTCAGGGGGGTATGGGAGGGAGGAGGGAGGAGGATCCCATACGCCACTCCGATTGCCCGCGCACCCTGGCGCCTGGCCCGAGCTTGCCCCCCCCCCCCCCCTGCCCTTCTCCTGCGGAGCCGCGCAGGCCCCGCCCCGGGCGTGCGCCCCTTGGCGCCCGGGGGCGCCGGCCGCTGTCCGGGAGGCGGGCGCCTCGGAGGAAAAGGGGCGGCCTGCCTCAGGTTCTCCACCTCGTGCCCTCCTGCCCTCAGCTTCCCTCCCTTCCTCCCACTTTCCCGCTCCTCCTCCTCCGTCCTCCTCCTCCTCCTCCTCCTCCTCCTCCTCCTCCTCCTCCTCCTCGTGTGTTTCCCTCCGTCCTCCCCTCCTCCCTCCTCCTCCTCCTCCTCTTTTCCATCATCCATCCTCCCTCCCTCCCCCCCCTCCCCTCCTCCCTCCTCATCCCTCCCCCCTCCCTCCTCCTCCTCCTCCTCCCTCCTCCTCCTCCTCCTCCTCCTCCTCCTCCTCCTCCTCCTCCTTCTCCTCCTCCTCCTCTCTCCCTCTTCTCTCCTCCCTCATCATCTTCCCTCATCCGCCTTCCTCCTCCGCCTCTTCCTCCCATGGCCCATACCTCCTCCCCTTCCTCCTGCTCTCCCCTCCATCCGTCTCTCCCTTCCTTGCCTACTCCCTTCGCATCCCCTTCTTGGGCGGCGCGCATGACACTGCGACCCAGGCGTCGCATTATTCCTCTTCAGGCTGCCCACATACGTTCGAACTAGATTGGGTCGCCGGATCGCGCCGCATCGCCCATGCGTCGGCGAGGCGGCCCGAAATGATTCCCGTTTTTTTCCTGCGCCGACGTCGCCGATGCTTCGACGGTTTCGCTGATGCGTCGGCGTTGCCTCAGCGATGTGGCGCAATCCTCCGGCCCCATTTACCCGTACCTCACTCGGGCGGCCTCCACCTCTTGCGGCGCGCGCGACCCCTGGGCTCACCATTGGGCTTCTACGCCCAGAGAACCGCAGGATGTCGTTAGTCTTGCCGCCCCCCCACAGCTCTTGGCTGGCAATAAATCCTGCGCGTCCCCCGGTTCGACATCTCCTCCTCTCCTCCTCTTCCTGCACGAAGGCGGCGGCGGAGAAATAATTATTTGTCGAAATTGCTGGGCGTCGGCAGACCTCAATCAGCCAACGAAGCAAGACTTGCCCATCACTGAAGAGGCGAGCATAAAAAGGCCTATCGCGGCTGTCGGGCCCCGAGGGCCATCACGGGCCAGTGCTGCTCGAGGAATGGCGCGGAACGGCGGGGGGGTCCGTCGTGATTTCCCATGGCGTCGCAATCAGTTTCCCGACATCGGACCTAAGGGAGGCGGGTGGCGCGAGGGGGGCGGCCTTGAAGGAAGACACGGGCCACATGGGGGTGTAGGCTCCATGGGGGACGCATCGACCCCACGTCGCCCGTTCATCGCCGATAGGGGCCCGACAGCTCACCTCCCCGCACCAGACCGTGCGGCTTCGCAAGTGGGCGCCTATCGTCGATCTGTCGGCGATGTATCGCCGGTTCCAGGTCGATGTCTCCCCCCCGAGCCGCCCCTTCCCCCCAACGTTCCCCACCTGTGGCGCGAGGAAGGCGGCCTTCAAAAAAGGTGGGGGGTCGTCTTGGAAGGAAGGGCCCTTCTTAGAAGGGCCAGTCCAGGGCAGCGGCCATGCGTCTCAACATCGTATAGGCAGAAACATGCAGAACAGCGTGTGGTACAATATGTGCTGGCATGTGCCGCACGTCTTTGCAGCAACGCTAGGCATCGAGGGCGAGAAGGCAGGATGTAGACTAACTTTCGGAGGTCCGCGCGTTTTTGGGGGGGTCGGCGTTGGGCCCGCACTGGCCCGCCAGGGAGGGGGTCCAGCGCCGATCCGAGGTAACAGCAGTTTATGTGTATGCCGCTGCTTCTCTTTCTGAAGCGTGTCAGGAGGTGGCGGGGGGGTGGGGGAAGGTGAACGAGGAAGAGGCGGATTTTCCTCAAAAGCAGAGTTGTGGCAGAAGCTGGCAAACGCACGAAACCTCGTGTTGCTTTGGTATGCCTCTCGTCGGGCATTGGTTCCAAGTCCGAAGCAGATTTACCTCTGCCAACACGCCAGAAATGTGACAAGTCTGCTGTGCGTTTGTACAGCGATGCTTGTCTCTCGCAAGTTGCCTCGCTGGGAGCTCGGACAGAGCTTCTGTTCGAAACTGGACCGGCGTGAAACATCCAGACTGGTGCATGAAGCTACTATGCCTCGAAGATATACAACAGCTTTGGGAGTACAATCGCATTGTACAAGTCAAGCGTTCTGCACACTGCAGCCGTGGCGTGAGCCAAGCACAGTTGCAAAGTTGCAAATACACCATGTTCCTACCAAAGGCTCCGTGGGAGCTCTGGCTTGGCGATGGCGTCTGCTTCTGAACGACCACCCAAGTAAACAGCATGCCGCAGAGGGGCAACTGGAATCAACGAGGGTGTCTTGATAACCCCACTGTCCTGTGTATTGATAACGACTGGCATGGCTTAATGTTTTTCGAGGCCTCACACATAATGGCATGAAGCAAGGATTGCAGCTGGGACAGTCGAATAACCTCTCGCGAGGAGCAGTTGGCTTTGGGGGAAGTGTCGGTATTTCCAGGGACCCTATTCCTTCTTCGTCCCGCACCCCCATTGCGCCGTGAAAAAAACATAATCTAATGTCGTTGGCATTTTTCTGTCTCTGGGAGCCCTCGCCGGGCCTCAGGACAATGAAACATGATGCAGGGTGACTAGTCGATCCTGTGGAAGGGGTCGGGATCTCCAGAAGTCCACGTTCTGGAAGGATCACTACGTCGGCGGTCTGGATCTCACACTCTCGTCACCCTCCTCCCTCCATCCCTCAGGGTTCATTTCGATCCGATCGATCTGATTCGATATCGATTCCAGCTGGGATCCGATGTGGCCCGATGTTTGTGTGGCGTTGCTGTGCATCTGGACGCAGCCGGTCGGATTCGATGTCGAGTCCGTGCCGAAGCAGCCCGATCCGATGCACATGTCGATTCGATCCAACTTACCGATTCGATGCTGATTGGTCTTATTTGGTCTTGAGACCCTGGGGGTCCTGGTGATTAACCGTTCCGGTCCAGTCCAGGCTTCCTGCTTGCTTCCCCCTCCTTATCCTTCCGCCCACCCGCCCTTCTCCCGCGGGAAGTCAGTCGGGTGCCGTGTTGACTCCGGTGAAGGAGGAGGAGGAGGAGGAGGAGGAGGAGCAGATGAAGCATGTGGAGGAGGGTGGGTTGGAGGAGGAGGAGGAGGACAAGCAGGTGAAGCACGTGGAGGGTGGAGGAGGAGGAGGTTGATGGTGGGCTCCTCTTCTTCACCACCTGCGGGTACCAGGTAGGGGCACCGCCGCTGCTGCCGACGGCGGCGGCTGCGGCGACGACGACGGCGACCAGACCCTCCACTCGGAGGCAGGCGGTTACGCATCTCCACCACCAGGCGAGCGTATCTTCCTGGGCCTCGGGAGGCGGTGTGCATGGATATACGCGCCCCTTTTTATATCATATGTATCTATATGTATGTGTATAGACTGATATAGAATTGTACATGTGCATAAATACATACATACACACATACATGCACGCATGCGTACATACATATATACATGCCTGCATACATACATGCATGCAGACATACATACACATACACATATATACATACAAACAAACATACATACACACTGACGTACGAGCATACATACATGCATGCACATATACATACGTACGTACGTACATACATACATGTATGCATATCTGCATACATACCTATATGCATACATATGTAGTATGTGCATGTGAATATACACATACATGTTTATATGTACATGTGTATATGCATGACAGGAGGCGTTCGCCTCCTTCCTCCAGGAGGTTCCTTCTGTGGCCGGAGGGGGAGGGTGGAGGACGAACGACGAACGAACGAATGACGACGACGAGAATGAAGAGGTCCGATCTCTAGAACACAGCTGTGCAAGAGAATAACGGAGCGTTGGATGTCTGGGCGTGCAGATCGTCCTCTTTGAAGGCCTTCCCTCCTGGCTCGATGCGTGACCGCCTGGAGTGCCCCAGAGTGCTCCCCTCCAGGAGGCCCAAATTCAAGGAACCAATATCTCCGGCACTATGCTTGTCGATCCTCATCCCTCCTCCCCCCTTCCCTTCCCAGAGGGAGGAATGAAGAAGTGATCAGGAGAACAGGGGTGGAAGCGGGAGGAGCGGCAGGAAGAGGAGAAGCGAGATCTTTGTCAACCTCTATTGGCGAGCACGTATTCGAGGTATTTACTCGAGCTCCCTGTGGGCCCCGACCTGGCTTGCGACTCCGAGGGTGTTGATTCAGTGTTGATGGTGCTGCAGGCTGAGGGGTCTTCCTGCACTGCTCCTAGTGTACACCCTCTTCACTTTCTCACTCGGGCTTGACTTGGCTACATGTTATCTGAAGTCCATAGTGTGACAGTATCGAAGACGCCTACGGCGAATCACCGCAGACCCCTGCTTTTTTGGAAGCGCCTATGTGGCCGAACGTTGAGGCCAGACCTGCCAAGCTATCGGACCATGTGTTCCCCGAATCGGTTTGGAAAGCCTTCGGGGAAAACGTGGGCATCTTGAAGGTCATCTTGGCCGTCTGGAGGCCATGTTGACCCTTTCGGGCCTTCTTGGAGGACGTCTTGGAGGGCTCTTGGGCCGTCTTGGAGGCCATCTTGAGCGTCTTGGAGACCTCTTGGGCCGTCTTGGGGGCCTCTTGGGGCTGTGTCTTGGGCCTCTTGGGCGATCTTTGGGGGCACTTGGGCCGTCTCGGGCTGTCGGAAGGCAGAAAAACAGCAAATGCCACAATCCTTCAAAGACCCATGGGAAATCAATGATTTTGGCCTTGTCGGGCCTTCTGGAGGCCCTCTTGGAGGCCTCTTGGGCAGTCTTGGGCCATCTTAGGGCCATGTTCGGTCGTCTTGGTGGGCTCCCGGTCCGTCTGACGCCGTCGGAAGCCGTTTGGGGGGCCTCTATGGGCCGACTTGGGGCCCTCTTGGAATGCTCCAGGGCCGTCTTGGAGGCCATCTTGGGCGTCTTAAAGGCATCCTGTGCCGTCTTGGGGGCCTCTTGGAACCGTCTTGGGGCCCTCTTGGGCCGTTCTGGGGCCATCTTGGAGGCCTCTTGGGCGATCTTTCGGCGATCTTTGG